AAAAAAAAAACAATGGCCGCATTTTGTTTATTCCGGCCTACGTACACCAAGATATCCAAGATACAACACCTACCGGTCTTTACAGAGAAGACGCAAAGCGAACGCCTTTGAATGATGAGTACTTTTGGCGCCTAAAAGTAATCTGTCATACCAATCGACCGTCTAGTTGTGAGATTCTATATATTGTAAATTGTAAAGAAATATTTTTGACTTTGGGAAGGTATGTAAAAGGATAAGATTGAAAGAGCGGTACGTACATTTAGTTAAAACCAAAAGTTTCTACTTGCAGCACTTTGCAGTCGTTACAGCAACATACCTCGAATATTCTCATACCCAAGGGGATATAGATGCTCCAAGATGGCAAACATAAGAACGAGATCTCTCGACAACTGATATTGAAACGACGGCGCGTCGAGTATTGATATATGTTTTCAGGTTTCAATTTTAAAAATTCATTTTGAAACAAGCTGACTTTCAACTGATTCTAGTCCACGCAAAGTCACCTACCGTAGTAACAAATTTACCATTAGTTTGTCAGACTTGTTAAGCAGAAGCAGAAGTAGTCAACAAGATGGCCTCTCCTGTATTAAGTAAATTTAATCCTACTATTTTTATTAAATCTTTAAAGTTTTGTGGACGTAGAAGTTTATCTGCTGGAACAGTTAGAAGAACTGAAAAAAGGAACGAAAAAATTTCCGAATATGCCGAAGGCGAAACACATTTTGGTTTCGAAAAAGTTAAAGAGGAGGAGAAGTCATCGAAAGGTAGGGTTATGTGTTTTTGTTTACATCGGAAGGAGTAGGCAATACAATTTATTTATCGGTCTGCTCAAGAAACCTTCACATGTGTCACATCAATATTTTGCCAGTTTTTTTTCCTCGAAGACTGCGAAACCACACAGTTATTTTGTACTAATTGACATGCATCAAAACCTGCTTCAACCATGTTCCATTGTGAATGTCACATATCTTACATAATGATTTGTGCTATTTTTATTACGTTGCGTGTTTTTTGTTCTTGTTGACAGTTCACAAAGTCTTTGAAGACGTTGCACAAGATTATGACAAAATGAATGATTGTATGAGCTTTGGTGTTCATAGATTGTGGAAAGATATATTTATGCAACGCTTGTCACCTGTCCATGGAACTCGTTTACTGGATGTTGGAGGAGGAACTGGTAAGCCATTGTTTTACAAGGAAGCAGTATCAAATTTTAAATTGTTAACATTTTTGTTTGTATTTGTTATAGGAGATATTGCTTTCCGTTTCGTAAAGTACCTTGAAAACTCATCGATACCTGTCAACCCAAACTTAAGTAATCATGTAACTATATCAGACATAAACAATGAAATGCTTGAAGTTGGTAAGAGGCGAGCTGCTGACAGAGGAGTTATCACAGCAGCAGAAGAAGTGAACTGTTCTGTTGACTGGCTAGAAGCTGATGCTGAAAAGCTACCTCTACCTGATTCTTCGTTCAATGCATATACAATTGCTTTCTGCATCCGCAACTGTACTCATCCAGAAAAAGTAAAATTCAGCACTTTAGTGTATATATGAGTCTATTAGGCCATATGACTCACTCTTAACTATTACTTTTGCAGGTACTTGAGGAAGCATATCGTGTTTTGCAGCCTGGTGGCCGTTTCTTGTGCCTTGAATTCAGTCATGTGGAGAATGATACACTGAGATGGTAAGTGCTCAGACGCCCTGCCTTACAATAGAGCTGCCGATCGCAAGCGCCAAAGTAGTGATCTGTTGGCCGCTTTACGCATCCAATCCAAACACAAAATGCTCTCCCTCGCTATGGCTGGCCCCAACCCAACCCACCTCATCCCAGCCCAGCCCACCCCCTACC